TCTCTCTCTCTCTCTCTCTCTCTCTCTCTCTCTCTCTCTCTCACACACACACACACACACACACACACCATGCTGTACAATTCAGCCTTTAATTACATTTACCTGTTTCCCTATTGTTTAACCATCAATTTCCTGCACTGAAGACAGACCTTATGCTCCTTGAAGGCAGGAATCCTGTCTTCAAGTTGTGCTCTGCCCCGGAAAGCAGGTACCCAAGAGCAAAGGCTGCTGAGTGGAACCAGGGGAGGGGGTTCAGTGTCAGTCTGCAGCGTGGCCTTTGGGCTGAGTTGCACAGCCCTACGCGGTGGTCCATGGTGGCCACTGTCTCGCTCCCCTCACCCCTAAGACGCCCTACCTCGCTGCTATTCCTTGTTGCTGCCAGGAGGAGGCACCACGGACTTGAGTTAAGCTTTTCCCACCCCCTGGCTACCCCACTTCCCCCAGCTCATGACGTGAGAAGCAGCCTCAACCAAGAGTCTTAGCAGTGGGAGTGAGGGGGTGATGAAGGGGGTTTGGGGGTGGGGAGGGGTGGGGGGTGGAGAGCAAGAGGACGCGCGTGCACACACACCCTGCCTCTTGGGTTTCTCCTCCTGAGCCTGAGTGTGAGAGGTAGGGTGTGTGTGTGTGTTGGGGGGGGGGGTGCGCGCGCGAGCACGCGCTTGAGTGGCAGGTTCCTGGGTGTGAGACCCAAATCAAGACCAGGACCTTTGATGTCCCCGCCCTCCCCGCGTCGCCGGTGATTAATACCCATTTTTCTTACTCTCCCCCTCCTCCCCTGCTCTTCCTCTCCTGCTGCCGAACGCTTGACTTGCCCCCGCCCGCTTCCCCTCCCCCGGCTCCCATCACCACCAACTGGAATCTGGGCTCTCCTGCTTCTCCACCCCCCCTCCCCTTTTTGAGAAAGGAAGGTCCTCCCCCACCCCCTTTCCAGCACCACTTCCTTGGGTTCCTTCACCTCTAGGAAATCTCGGGGCTTGGCTCTATGGAGAAGCGCTTCTCGGGTCAAGCTCCCTCTCCATCCCCGACATCCAGCGGAGCTGACAGCCGAATACATTTCCTTGTGCTCTGCAAAGAGTCGTAGTGAACTTCCCAACCCGGGAGACTGATCCATCTCTCCTGCTTTGCAGGAAAGGAAATCTCTCAAACCCTCGACACCCGCCACCCCTCTCCGGAGACTACCACCGCCGAGGCACTCAGAACCGGTATGTAAATGCTCGCTTTGGAGTCTCTATTTTGAGGGTTTGGGGAAATTAGGCAGATAAAGGCTTGAAGCCTTGGCACTGCTACCCAACCTGGTGTTGGGTATAGCTTTCCAATCCAGTAGCACCGGGCACTTGCTATTTTGGATGGTTTTTAATTTTTTTCTTTTAAACAATAGGATATTTTTGGGGAGGGGGAAGGGGACAGGACTGCCTTTGGTCTTTCGGAGGTGGTTAATCCCTTCTAGGGGAGAGGCTTGGGCAGCGGTGCCCGCGGCGGGAGCCACGCGCTGCGACCCTCCAGTCCAATCCTCGGGCTGCAGGTGCAGCCCGGTGCGCTGCACATCAGCGCGCCGGCGGCGTGAGTGTGCGCGGGGGTGAGTGTGAGTGCGCGCGGGGGCGCGTGCGCGTCGGGGGCGTGTGTACGCGCGTGTCAGTGTGCCCCATCCAAGAAATGCCCAGTGTGCGACCGGTGCACAATCAGAACCCATTGAGCACGAGCCCGGGGTGGGAGGAGGCTGGGCTGCTGGAGGAGATGAGGAGAGCGAGCCAGACGTGTCAGCAGCATTGCAGATGGGGCTGGGGGCCGCACTCGCTGGCGAGTTAAGTGGGAATGGTGTGCGTGTGCGCGCGCGCGCGCGTGTGTGAGTGTGAACTGCTGTGTGGAGCCTCCTCTCCCTGCCTTCCTCCTTGCTTCCCATTTCCCTCGTCCCTCTCTTCCATTCAGGTTGGCTTTTCTCACCTTTCATCCATGCCCGTCCCAGGAATGGCATAGGCAGACCTTTTCTGAATTATTTATAGATTGGTGCCAGCTGTTTTCAATTCCTCTCGTGTGTACTCTGTGGGAAACGCAGGGTTTCCTCCCCCTTTTCTTATAACGACTTGATATATAGATTTTTTTTTTCCGGCATGCATTTTGCTAACCCTCTGGGGGACACTCGAATCAAACCCTGACCTCCTCTTTTTTCCCCCTTAGGAAGGGGACGCTTTGGGAATGACCATGCTCCACGGAGGGACAGATCCGGCCCCCATCTTCTCTACACAGAGACTCCTCTACTAAAGCTCCAAAAAATTAAAAAGAAAAAAAAAAGAAAAAAAAAAGAAAAAAGAAAAAGGAATCCAACCCGTAATTGCCGAAGACTCCTTAATTCTGTATACTCGGGCTACTAACCTCACATGCACATGGAATAACGACTCTGGATTCTGCATTGTGAGCCGCTCTCCACACCCTGAGATCCCCTTTTACATTACATTTTTTTCCTTTGAATTTGCATCTCTTCAAGACACAAGATTAAAACCAAATTTACACTACACTGGATTTTAAATTTTCTTCCGTTCCTTTATCCTCCGTCTTTCTTATGTGGATATGCAAGCAAGAAGAGGACCCCGGATATTCCCAACATGCTCTCTCCCTTAATCTGTCCGCCTAGAGGTTTGGCTTCTACAAACCAAGGTAGGGCACATTCTGTTTTATTCTTTTTCCTCACCTGGGTTAGGGATTTCTTGTTTTTAATCTGTCTTTTTCCAATACCTCAGATGATATTTTTTTCTGGAAGAAAAAAAAAACCCATGATTTCAAAATAATGCTGTTTGGGGGGAAAGGCTTCTGTGACAAAGAAGGGGACTTCCAGGTCGTTTCTCATGCTTCTGCCATCTAACAGGTTTTGTTTTTCGGGCAAGGCGGTGTGGGTGGTTGTATGCAGGCACAGGAGAGGTTGGAGGTGGAAGGGGTGTATGTCTATATGCAGACACAGGCAGCCAGGGGACCTGTATGCTTCTCTTACTTAAACTGGATTTTATTCACACAGAGCTAATGTTAGATTTTGATGGGCATCTAGATATTTTTTTTTTCTCCAAGCTGAGACTTGTTCCTTGCCATCTTCCCCTCTGTTTCCCTATCTTTCCTTTCTAGGTATCCTTTCTATGCTCTGTGAAAATAAATAAATAAATAAATAAATAAATAAATAAATAAATAAATCCTGCTCGGAATTATCGTGGCTATTGCCCTGAAGCCCACCTGGTGTCTCAAGAAAGGGTTGAAACTGGGCCCTTAGATCCCAGGAGGCCTATCGCAGAGGTGCAGGTGTAGGTAGGGACTGGCTGGTCTCAGAACACCTGGATGCTGCAGCCTGAAGTCTCCAACCTTAAGCTTGAAAAGAAGGGATTCTGTCAATATTCTGCTTTTCATTTGTATCTTTTCCCCGTGTGCTATTATTTTTGAGCTGCAAATTTCTCCTTCTGTCCACACATCTATTTATACCCGCACATCCTCCAAGCAAACTGTTACTTCCACACTCTTGCAAAATGGCTATCTTGCAGACTTCTAAAGCGCCGTGCATGTGGAAGGGGTGCAGAATTCGACATGTGAGCCTTTGTGTTAAACAAAGGAATGTACTGCTCGCATGTGTTCCTCTTGTACCCTCAAAAATACAGTTTATATTTTCACTTCTTTCATCCTCACATCCATTTCAATAACATTTGAAATTGTTATATATGTGAAGAAATATATACATCAAACCTATATAATATATATAAACATAAAAGCTATGTAAAATGTGCCCAGTTATCTTGGACAGCATTTGAAAAGAGAAATAGCAACAGGAATGGAAAAGACTTAGCTAACAGTTCTTCTGCTAGCCACTTGGGCAAGCCAAGACAACTCCTGAGAAAAATCATAGCATCTCTGGCTTGAGGGCCAAGACGGGGACCCAGGTGCTCATCTCCTTTCTACACTGTCTATACACCCTCCAAACTCCAAAGATATTCTCGTGCAGGAATGAGGGTGGAAAAGGGTCTTCCAAAATATGTAGGAGAGCCATGAGTAGTCAATAGTCCTTCCCCAAACACCCCCTCCCCCTCCACCCAAGTCATTAAAAAAAATCATCCTTAGGAGCAACCTAAAAACACTAAAGTGTTGTAGGGGAGGTGGTAGAAGGTCCTTGCCAGTCACTCAAAATGACAGTGGGCGATAGCTCTTTATTGTTCAGTAAGGATGGATGTGGATGCCATCCAAATTTACTGCTCCCCTCCCCTAGGCCTCATACTTTGAGCTCTCCTTGCTGAAGCATTAATCTGTAACCATGGTGTAGTGAGAGTGAGGCTGGGATCCCAATTTGAATCATGTTCTCACCACGTCTGGAAAATAGCTAAGGTTATCTGGTGTGTGCTCACCTTCGAGCTACCTGAGCTGGCTCCCTGACTTCTTCTCCTCCTTCAAGTAGGAGGATGAACTCTTCGTTTCATTTCAAAATAGAATAGAGGAAAGAGGCGAGGACGCCAGCTCAATGTGCGGAGAGTTCATATGCACTGGTGGCCAAGGGGAGGTGGGTATCCACAGGGCACGTGGCTTCTTTTGCATCACAGTTGCCTGTGGTAGTGCTCTGCAACTGAGTAGGGCCTTGGTGATAAAAAATTGATGTTCTTTGGTGATAAAATCAATAGGGAGGCTTTGCTCAGGGTCTCAAGCATCTCCTTGAGCATGCATGCCAGTAAGATTCACTCAAGTTCTAAGCTGTCATTGGTTGGTCCAAGGACTGGGCGAAGGAGAAGAGGTTAAATAGTAGAGTACCAGGGAAGAGAAGGGAAAGGGACTGAGAAAGCTAGAAAGAAAAGAGAGGTGATCCAGTTGGAAAAGACTTGTCAAGTATCAGGGAAGCACAGCCACAGGTGGCCCTCAGCTTTTTGGTATTCCAAGCTATTTTTGGAGACTCTGACATGGAAGCTGTTGTGACCTGTTGTCGTGAGCAGTGCCCACAATGCCTGACTCGGTGGCATTCTGGGCCTTCCTGGGTGCGTTGTTGCGGCTCTCTTCGCTTTTTCATCACTGATTGGGTCCTCCTTCATCTCTTTGCTTTTTGCCCTCACCCTGGTGGCGAGGGCAACATGGGAAGTGGTGGGGCTGGCAGTGGGAAGAAGAACAAACTCAACAGCAATGAAAGAGACTCTGTGGTCTGTCATTAAGGAAAAATGAATGGGAAATATGACTTCCCAGGAGAGCTAGAGATGTAGCATTAAGGGGGAGCCACCACATGTGACTCGATTCCTATGCTCCAGGTATGCTGGTGCAGGGGACCAGCTATGCTGGACCTGGGGAATGGGTGACACGCCAGGTGCTGGTGTGCAGAGTCAGAAGCAGAGTATGCCAGAGAATTGTCTAATTCGTCGTCTCTCTTGTTGGTTCCAATTCTAGGAAGCCTGCCCACCTGCAGGTTCTTGTTCTGCTACTGATGGTGTGTGATCTTTGTCAGGGGTGGACGTAGGCAGAGAATACAAGTGAGGAGAACAGCAGTAAGGAGAGGATGGAGAGAGAGAGAAGTCCTTTCAGCACTACTTTGCATCCCAGGCTGGTTTTTTTAGATTGGTTAAGAAGAGTGACTTCTTCTGGAGGGAGGGTGAACAGCAAAGGGTCTTGTCACTGCGCTTCTGTCTCCAAAGAGATGGCTTTAGAACTCAGCCATTTTTCTCAGACCTTCAACTCCACCTAGGCTTGCATGGGGAGAAGCAATGGCTACTTTTGAGAGAGACACAGGGACAAGAGTTGGCTGGTGTAGTGAGTGACTAGTGTTTAGTGGGGGAGAATCAGGACCGAGTGGATCCAGGGGGCACATCGTAATCTTTGAAGTGTGGTTTTCATCTCCTTTATGGCTGTGGTAAACACAAGGGCAAGCTTTCTTCTTCAAGAGTCAAATGAAGGTAACGTCTTCACCAGTATTGACCAACTACTGCAAACATTTAGTTAATGCTTGGAGACTATGAAACCAGAAGGAAGCAGGGGGAAAGGAAGTTGGATATGAAGAAACCATGACCTCAAATCAACATTTAGAGCCATAGAGGAGAAAGAATCCAGGGATGACCTGACCACTGTGTAGATTGGAAGCAGCTGTTATAAACGATGGGCTTGTTTCGTGAACAGTGATGATAGCAAATGACCTCATCTCTGGTATCTTGATGGGGGTCAAGAGTAAGAGCTTTCAAAGTTAAGATTGGCTTCTTTCTCATTGCCATTTCACACTCCTTAAGAATCCTAGATATTACTTCCTTTTAGTGAACCCTATTTTTAGTCTCCATGACCCTGTACACGATTGGGTACTATTGCATTGTTCCTATGTAAACAAATACAGGTCAAAAGAGTTGCTAGTGTGATGAATTGTTTACATTTATTAAAGTGCCTCTCTTCTTTGTAACCAAAGAAGAAACCTCCAGGGAGACATTAGTGGTTGAATTGGTATTGTCTTCCAGGAGGCTGAAGATGGGAAGAACTGAGCACAGTCAGTAGAGGGAGCACATAGAACTCAGAGGAGGTAGGTTTCTGATTTCTGAGGTCTAGATGCAGTAGCAATGTTAACTGTCTGTGACTATTACCCTGATCCACTGGGTGGGTCAACTTCTCAGGATTTATAGACCAGAGAGGTGTGCTCAGGGCCTTCCTTGCTTTGCTTGGTGTTCCGGTACCTTATTTCTATCTTGTCATTCTCTAGCCCTGTCAGCTGAGGTTGGCAGGGAAGAACTCAATGATTTTGTTGTCCCCTGGTAACAGTCCTTCCTCATCGCTCCCAGCAAGTGTGGTTGTTTGACTTGTCTCTGTTTTACTAGCATGTATTTGAGGTTCTAAGACCCTCTTTGCTTTCTCTTATTTACGTGTCCTCTTTCCTTCTCTCAGAAGCTCATGAGTTCCTCAAGGGCAGGGAGAGATGTGTATTCATCTTGGAATCATTTGTACTCAGCGCAGAGACAGGCATCTGATAGATACCGGGGAAAACACTGGGAGAATGAGCGGGGACAGGATGCACAATGTTTATCAGTCAGTGGTGCTATTTGTTATTTGTTTGATGGTTTAGAATGAGGTATCGGTATGCAGGGAGATGTAATCAAGAACTTGAAGCTTAGTGGGCATCTACTCTGTCTCACTTTATAGATGAAGAAGCTGAGATGTGGGGAAGTGATTGTCCCAAGGTTACGTAGCTCCTTAGTGCTAATGCTTGCTGTCCACCATCGATGACATCGAGAGCTGGTGACCGTCTGTGCACTTTGGATATCTACATCATTACTTCCCAAACTTTATTGCATACAGAAGTCACAAGGGGTGCTATTAAAATGCACATGCTGATTTGATAGGTCTGCAGTGAGACCTGATAAGAGTTTATCATGTCAGAGTTCTTGTATGACAGGGCTCAGATTCACACCCTCTCTGCATCTGAGCGCCATCATAATTTATACCGAATCTCTTAATTCAACTTTGTGGCGTCTACAACATCCTTGCTTTGATTATTTTTTTTAATCAGAAAAAAAACTATATGTTTATCTGTTTATTCTACTCTTTTGTTTATAATTCTTCTACTCAAGTACACCTTTTTTGTCTCCTCTATATCTTCTTATTCTGAGCTTTCTTATCATGAATTGTTTTCTTCTCATTTTCTTCTGCCTCTTAGTTTCTTATTAACACCCATTTGTCTT